CACCACCAACCCCCACGCCACACCCTTCGGAACCAATCACTACCCCCCGGTACCACGGACCCGACCTCTGCGTTCCAAAACTCTCTGTTCCGGACACCATCACCTCTCTCTCTCTCTCTCCCTCCCCCCCCTCTCTCTCTCTCTCTCTCTGCCGACCCCGTAATACACGCGGCGCCGAAATTGCACTCCTCCAAATAAACGTGCTGTAGTTACGCCCTCCCCCTCACCCCTCCTGGTCCCAGCCGGGGGCGAGGTCCCCCATGCCTATAGCTGCGGACCAGAAAATGGGATCGTGCGCGCCGCACGCCTACGGGCCGGCCCGAAACCTCTGCTCAGCCGGCCCGCCTAGCAAACTGGCACCCCTAAATAACGTACACTGTGAGAAAATATACACATTTTTATTTTTACAAATTATAATTTGAAAAAAAAAAGAAAATTACCTCTACAAAAATTTAGGTGGAAAACCCTAATGAATATTTTAAATAGTCATTGACAATGCTTTTAGGCACTCAATAAAAAACAACCAAAAAAAAAACAACAAAAAAACGCCTTTCAAGGGCAAATAAGGTAAGGTGATAATAAATCAAGAATATATTTGAATAAAAAATGAATACATGAGTGAGCGTCTCGGTGAGCGTGGTACGGCTAATAAGTATTTTCGACGATGCACGTTGATTCCAAAAGAAAAGGAGTGGAATAAATGCAGAATGCGGCAGAGTTATGGCGCGATGCATTAAATACAAACAGAATTCCCGCGTTAAACGAGTTTCGTCCGCACCCAAGTTGTTCGGTCAGACCACTATACTGCTGCCCTCGCAGCAGCTGTTTTCGCTTCATGTTTTGTTTTTCTGTTTTTATTCGCAACCAGTTCATAGCCACGTCAGCTCCGGCCGCTAAAGGGACTGTCTACTGTTTACCTACTCCCTCCGAATCCTCACCAGCCACCCCCCTCTTCCTCCCCGATCTCCCATCCCTGCCTGCCCCGGGTCTAGCCCGAAAAGCCACAAGAGGGAAGGTAGGTGGGGGTTGGGGGAGGTGTGTATGTGGCACGCACACACACACACGCACGTGAGTACACGTATTACACGTATTCATCCCTTCTGCCGGGCCCTATTTACACAGGCCTCATTGCCTCATTTGCTCCCCCGCCCCCGCTCTCGCTCTCTCTCTCTCTCTCTCTCTCTCTCTCTCTCTCTCCACGACAAAAGAGCCACGTCTCGGGCACACGCGCGCCGCGCTCCCATATAACCCGTGCCATGTTTGCCCACAAGGCATGGAAATGACCAAAACGCACACTTTGGCAGAGTCGAGAGCGTGATAACTGCTGCTCGCAACCGAATAACGCGTCATAAATATATAAATACCACCTATGATTGCAGTCTTTAATTTAGGAAAAGTGCATCGCATAATTCCACGACCTAGCTTTTCATTTGCCAAAACGTCCGGATGCCAGCATGTTCCAAACGCAGTCACAACGCCCAAAATTTATCGCAGCATTTCAAATTTTGACTATGCTTTCTTTCTCTCCGACTAACCAAGCTCGACTGCTCGGAAAACAAACGGAAATATGATTGTGCTGATACGAAAGCTATAGAAATGCACTACAAATTTTTTAAGTAATTTTTTAAAAAATTGTTGCTGTCTGTTGTGCTAATACTGTTACTCGGCGCTTTGCTTTTCGCCCTGCAAGGCGAGGTTGGGGCACATGGCAGCCTCCCCCCATATTCTCAGTGCCAAGCAGTTCAGCTCGTTTCCACTCTGAAGACGCCGCCAGGAAACACAATATTTGAGAAGAACCCCGCGCGTTCTCCCCCCCCCCCTTTTTTTACCTGATTCCCTTTCGGCGCTCCTTTTTGCCAAGTTGTGTATATGTGCACTTTTTTTTGGCCCCTTTCCCCTCTTTTACTGTGAGAGTAGGAGAAAGAGAGAGGTTATGGTGAGAAGGGGGTGGGGGACTCTAAGTGGGTGAGATGTGATTGCTCCCCCCCCCCTCTCCTCTCTTCTCTCTCTGTCTGTGGAGTGACCCTCCCTCCGCTGTCCCACCCCCACCTTGTTTTTTTACTTATTTATTTCTTTGATATCCCAATAATACGGCCAAATAACGGGAAAAAAACTCAGCGATAGAAACACAAAAGCGCGGCGGAGCGGGCACGCGTACGCGTATAACGCCAACTGGGCAGGTAAAAGTTCTTTATTGTTTTCCGGAGAGAGAGAGAGAAATAAAGGGGGGGGGGGGGCGTCTGAGAGAAGAGAATATAGCAGCGAGTGGAAGAATAGGAGAAGGTTGAAAGGTGAGGGGGAGTGATGACCAGCAGCAGGCAACATGCTTCACGCTCAGAGTGGTCTCCGGAGGCGGCGGTAGAGGGAGAGAGGAGAGGGGGGAGGGGTGTCTGAAAGAGAATAGAGCCGTATGGAAAACGCCCCACCATCACACACTCCTTCGTGTTTTCCCCAGGCGGCTGCTGGACAAAGCAGAGCCACTGCAAAAAGCGCATGAAAAAAAACCACTGTTATAGATGTTATAATTGTTTCGCGAGAAAAGCAAGGTGCTGTGGTACGGGCTGCTTTTCTTCATTTTGAAATTATGCACCACCGCAAAAACAAGCAAACAAACAAGGTAATAATTTTCCTGGGCATCTTTCGGGACAATGAGCTTTGGTGGCTGGTAACTCAAATTTCTACCATCCTGAAAAATGGGTAAATTGTTCTTTTACGCCAGTTCTCCCTCTACCCCAATCCAGAGTTCTGCGATGGGCGGGCGGCCTCCGCCCGGCAGCACCGAGCGCTCGTCGCCAGAGCGCCCGGCCCGGCCCGTCTCTTCGTCGATGGGCCGGGTGGTCGCCCGGACCGAGCTTGGAGACGGGCGGATGGTCCGCCCGCTTCATTCGGCACCTTTTTGACGTGGCGAGAGTAGCTGTCGGCCAGCGCCGACCCGCGCGGACCCCGCAGGTGACTTCGGCACTGTTCGGACGTCCGGCCGGTGGCTGCCTCCGCCACGCCAAGCCACAGCACCGCAGCTCACCGCCCATGACTGTCACTCTCTCTCGCACACCTCAGGCAGCGGGCGGAGCCCGCCCGCCCATTGCAGATCTCTGCCCCAATCTGCCCCGTATTTAGTTCATCTGGTTACGGCTGGAGCAGCGCCCGGCCAGGCCGATGCGGCCGACGCGGCCAACGGGCCAGCCGGAAATCGGCGGTCGGGCGGCGAAGGAGCGGCAAGGGCAGGGGAAATTTGTATCGCAAAAAAACACAGCCAGTTTGGGGGGTGAAAGAGAGGGGGGGG